GCCTGGTCCTGTCCGGCCACTCCTCTTCGTCCTCGTTGGTGTCGAGGGCGTAGTCCGGCGGAGGGGTTTTCCTCTTCTTGGACCCTTCGGCCCCCCCTACTGGGGCGGCCTTCCTCTTCTTGCCTCCCCCCGTTGGAGGGGGAGAGGTTTCTTCTTCCTCCTCGTCGTCTCCACGGGAGGGGTGCGTCTCGGACTCATCGGACGATGAGTCCGACACCACCATATGTCGGGAACTCTTTCGAGTCCCCGTGGCCTTCTTCTCCGGCACCACATAAGGTGCCGGAACCAGCAGCTTCGCTAGTAGAGCAGGAGCTGGGTCTTCGGGCAAGGGAGCCAGCCAGTTAATCGATCCGGACTTTGCCCGCCAAGCCTGTCAAAGGTAAGGGAGCTTAGATCCCGCATAGAGTCAAACTATGAAAAAACTTAACATCCTGTAAAAGGTGAAAATGGCTTACCTCGCTAGCGTGGCGCTGCGAGCTGTATCCGCGGTCCTCGGAAGCGGATGTGGGAGCCTCGGCGCCTTTGGTTAGCACCCTCCAGACGTCTTCATACGTCGTGTCGAAGAGCCTGTTAAGGGTTCGGTGCTGCGCCGGGTCAAACTCCCACAGATTAAAGTCCCGTTGTTGTCACGGGAGGATCCGGCGGACGAGCATAACCTGGACTGCATCGACGAGCTTGATCGGCTTGCTCACCAGGGACTGGATGCATGTATGCAGTCCGGTCAGCTCTTTTTTGTCGCCCCAGGACAGGCCCGTCTCTTTCCAGGACATAAGCCGCGTGGGGGGTCCGGATCGGAACTCGGGGGCTGCGATCCATTTCGGATCGCGCGGCTCGGTGATGTAAAACCACCACAATTGCCACCCCTTCAGGGTCTCCACGAGGGAGCCCTCGAGCCATAGGACGTTGGCCATCTTGCCCGCCATGGCGCCTCCGCATTCCGCCTGGCGGCCGCGCACCACCTTGGGCTTGACGTTGAAGGTCTTGAGCCAGAGGCCGAAATGGGGGCGGATGCGAAGGAAGGCCTCGCACACGACGATAAACGCCGAGATGTTGAGGACAAAGTTCGGGGCCAGATCATGGAAATCCAGGCCATAGTAAAACATGAGCCCCCGGACAAATGGGTGGAGTGGAAAACCCAGTCCGCGGAGGAAGTGGGGAAGGAATACTACCCTCTCATGGGGCCTTGGGGTGGGGAGAAGCTGCCCCTCCTCGGGAAGCCGGTGCGCGGTGTCTTTGGACAAGTGTCCGGCCTTCCTTAGCTTTTTGACATGGCCCTCCGTGACGAAGGAGACCATCCACTTGCCTCCCGCTCCGGACATTGCTGGAGAAGGTTGAGGTGGGAAGTGCGGGCTTGGGCGCTGGAGTTCGAGTGCGCAGGATATGGATAGGCAAAGGAGGAAGAAGGCGTAGGTAAAAAGATGGATCCTTATCCCCTTATATGGGCGGATGCGGTTGTGCGTCCCCACCAGCCTAGTAAAACTCGCTTGTCTCCCAAGCGCCGTGATAAATGGCGCGGTTAGGGTTACCCACGTCCGTATTGATGAGAATCCCGTAAGGGGGGTACACGATCTCTGCTTTGACAAGACGTGCCAAGGAAACCGCCTTGCAAAACATGCTGAGGTGGAAAAGTAAAAACGATTCAAGTAAAGGACTTGGCCGTAGTGTGATGACGCACTGCGGAATACGTCGGCAGATTAAATTTGTGTCAATGTTATTCTCTCTATGGCAATATGTGGAAACTTATTTTGCAGAGCCGGACACTACTCTTGGTGTTTACAATCTTCTATGAAGGACTTGGAGGAGGAACCCGCCTTGCAATGCCGAAGACAATTTGCGCGCCGGACTCGTCGTCATTGAAGCCTGGTTCAGGGGCTACTGAGGGAGTCCTAGATTAGGGGGTGTTCGGGTAGCCAGACTATACCTTCAGCCGGACTCCTGGACTATGAAGATACAAGATTGAAGACTTCGTCCCGTGTCCGGATGGGACTTTCCTTGGCGTGGAAGGCAAGCTTGGCGATGCGGATATTCAAGATCTCCTACCATTGTAACCGACTTTATGTAACCCTAACCCTATCCGGTGTCTATATAAACCGGAGGGTTGTAGTCCGTAGGCAATCAACTCCATACACAATTATCATACCATAGGCTAGCTTCTAGGGTTTAGCCTCCTTGATCTCGTGGTAGATCTACTCTTGAACTACCCATATCATCAATATTAATCAAGCAGGAGTAGGGTATTACCTCCATCGAGAGGGCCCGAACCTGGGTAAAACAAAGTGTTCCCTGCCTCCTGTTACCATCCGGCCTAGACGCACAGTTCAGGACCCCCTACCCGAGATCCGCCGGTTTTGACACCGACATCGGTCAAACCGCATAACAACATACGTTGTTCCCTTTGTCATCGGTATGTTACTTGCCCGAGATTCGATCATTAGTATCTCAATACCTAGTTCAATCTCGTTACCGGCAAGTCTCTTTACTCGTTCTGTAATACATCATCCCGCAACTAACTCATTAGTTACAATGCTTGCAAGACTTAAGTGATGTGTATTACCGAGTGGGCCCAGAGATACCTCTCCGACAATCGGAGTGACAAATCCTAATCTCGAAATACGCCAACCCAACAAGTACCTTCGGAGACACATGTAGAGCACCTTTATAATCACCCAGTTACGTTGTGACGTTTGGTAGCACACAAAGTGTTCCTCCGGTAAACGGGATTTGCATAATCTCATAGTCATAGGAACATGTATAAGTCATGAAGAAAGCAATAGCAACATACTAGACGATCAAGTGCTAAGCTAACGGAATGGGTCAAGTCAATCACATCATTCTTCTAATGATGTGATCCCGTTAATCAAATGACAACTCATGTCTATGGTTAGGAAACTTAGCCATCTTTGATTAACGAGCTAGTCAAGTAGAGGCATACTAGTGACACTATGTGTGTCTATGTATTCACACATGTATTACGTTTCCGGTTAATACAATTATAGCATGAATAGTAAACATTTATCATGAAATAAGGAAATAAATAATAACTTTATTATTGCCTCTAGGGCATATTTCCTTCAGTTCGGACATCGTAAGGGTTCCGGGAGGTTTCAGACATATACCGGAGTACCGGGGGTTACCGGACCCCCCCCCCCCGGAAGCTATTGGGCCTTATGGGCCTTAGTGGAGAAGAGAGAGGGCAGCCAGGAGGTGGCGCGCGCCCCCCTTGCCCCAATCCGAATTGGACAAGGGGAAGGGGCGGCGGCCCCCTCTACTTCCTTCTCTCCACCTCCACCTCCTCCTTCCCCCTTCTCCTTCTTGGAATAGGAAAGGGAGGGGGCAAACCTACTTGGAGTAGGATTGCCCCCCCTTGGGCGCGCCTCTCCCCTGGCCGGCCCTATCCCCCCCCTTTATATGCGGGGGTAGGGGCACCCCAAAGACACAACAATTAATCTGTTGATCTCTTAGCCGTGTGCGGTGCCCCCTCCACCATAATCCACCTCGGTTATATCGTAGCGGTGCTTAGGCGAAGCCCTGCGACGGTAGTTTCATCAACATCGTCACCACGCCGTCATGCTGACAAATCTCTTCCCCGAGCTCTACTGGATCGTGAGTTCGCGGGACGTCACCGAGCTGAACGTGTGCTGAACGCGGAGGTGTCGTACGCTCGGTGCTGAGGATCGGTCGATCGTGAAGACGTACGACTACATCAACCGCGTTGTTATAACGCTTCCGCTTAACGGTCTACGAGGGTACGTGGACGACACTCTCCCCTCTCGTTGCTATGCATCATCATGATCTTGCGTGTGCGTAGGAAAATTTTGAAATTACTACGTTCCCCAACACTGCCGCCATATGAGAAGCAACAACGGCTGTTTGGGCTGCCTTGGCTGCACGGTCGCAGATTGCGTCCGCGCTCACGCAGCCTGTTAGCACGTGCATGGCAACTGCGGCCGCGCTGTCGCCGAAGTGGGCCGCCAAAGTTGCCCTCACGACGCGGGTCCACGTCCCCATCTTTCACCGGCGACGATTGAACAGTAAAATGATATTTGGGGAGCGAGCTGGTGTGCTTGACACGCCGGTTGTGGACTGTAGCCGACACACCTTCTCGTGTAAGCCATATGCGCACTATACTCCGACGGTGCTCTAAGATATTTTGTACTGCATCTCACACGGTTGGTGATAAACTTGTGTGTGATCTACTTGATTTTTCATCTTGATTTGAATTACATAATAGGGTCACAGCTACAAAGGAGGGTGTTTAAATTGCTAGAACTTTTATCTGCAGTGAACATGCAACCATATGTGTGTCATCAAAAAAATTGAAATTATTCAGGATTCGTTTGGACTTTTTATACATTAACTTGGTTTCTAGGCATTTCAGGTGCGTAATTCAAAATTAAACTACATGCACATACTCCGGTGCATCAAAATGAATTGTAAAATCACGACGATGAGGAGAGGTAGGGGGCACATAGAGAGACCTATCGGCGCCTGACGGGAGAAAGTAATGTATTTTGATACCATTTCGTAGTTCATATAAATTGAACATAAATTTGTGTATCAAGGTTGAGTAATTTTGTGTCCTCGACGGCTAACGAGCTCCAATGTTCACCTCCCTCCAATCATGAACGCTACTGAATTGGAAATTTGAAGTATTTTTGTGAAATTCGGCAAAACAAAGGGGCTTTATAAACCGGAGTCTGGTCGACACAAGGATACACCAAGGAGCCATGGTGGTCCCCCACATGACCTTGACCCCACTGGTCAGCGTCTCGTCACGCCCCTTATCGTTCGACCTCCTTTTCTTCCTCCCGGCGTCAACCTCACTCCAAGCGCCCCAATTTACCAAACCAGTACTCCTCGCCGCTCCGATCCGCCAAATTCTCCAGTCGCTCAAACCCTAGAAGCTATCCCCTGACGGCGAACCACAGAGCTCCAATCGAAGAAGCGGCCGATCAGGGCCATCTACTGCTATTTCTAGCGCCGGATTTGGGTTCGGCGCGATGTCTTGGGCCGGGCCCGACGAGATCCTCCTCTCCACCTCCCTGGCCGGCTTCTTAGATAGTGAGATTTCTCTCCCAGATGCTTGTTTTGTCCCCATTAGTTTCCCCGGTACTGGCAGTGGTTCGTGTCAGGAGCAAGAGTCGATTTTTACGGGGATCTTGGATCCGATTGCGTAGGTTCCGGCTTGCCTAGCCCTCGATGCTTAGCCAGTGTCGGTTGCGCTGATTTGCTTTTGACAGTTTTTCTTGCCAAGAGTTGTTGAATTTGTGCCAAGGTGAGCCCTTTTGATGGGCTATGCAGGCTAAGGACGAACTTGGCGCAGCATGTTTCTATGTGTATTACCCCAAATTGGTGTAGATGTGTCAAAAATTCATATGGCCCATTCAAAGTTGGAAGCTTTTTGGTAGAGGGTTACTCTGACTAGAGTTCAGACTTCAGAATCAAGAGCCTGTGGCGGAATACTTTGTATTATTGCTCGAAATATTACATTGAACTGCTTATGGCTATCAATATAGGGCTCTGATAGTCTCTCATAAAGATATGTAATTAATTGAACATGCTGTTGGATTATGTTAACACTTGGCAACGTCCCATAGCTTTCACTATAATTCTGGTGGCTAAGCATAAAGATAAGTTATTAATTGGACCCAACTAGTGTAGATTTGGGTTGTTGATGGGGGCCATGGAGCACTTCTATGCAAATTATTGTATGATTTGAATGCGGTAGATTTAGTTGGTTGGGTGGAGCAGATCAGAAAATGTTATATTTCAGTAATTTGTGATGATGTTCCAAACATAAAATGACATATTTTCCTTTAGGTGTCTGGAGATTCAAATGTGACATACTGAATTTTATATTAGGTTGGAAGTATTAGTACTAAAACTGTATTTCCTAAGAAGAAAGAAAAAGAACAATGTGGTTTAAACAGAGTCTCATGAATCAACACAAATTAACCCCTTTGGTTACTGATTATGTATGGAAACCTTAGTGCATTCTTTAATTTCTAGTTTCTACTCGCTGTGCTTGACTTGCTATAAAAGCTGGAATTTCACTTGCTAACTGTGCTGTAATAGATTACAGATTATGTACTTTTACTAACTTAAATATACAGTATATGCTGTTGGTCTGTTAGTTAGTTGTAGTTATATTGAGCCCTGTGTTTGATGTTCATTGTTCAAAGGGTTTCATCTTTGGTATCCCCAGTAGCATGGCTGAATTGGTTCACCTGAGCTTCTCTGGATTACTTGGCGGCTTTGATGTATTTACATACGTGTTAGATTCTAATCGTATTGACATGTGCTTGGCAGTAGGATCTCTGATGGGTTCTCTAAGGCGATGTGCTCATGACACTTCATACTTATGCATTATTCAATATAAAGTATTTTTTTCATGAACATCATGATTGCTTTATTATTTGGTCGGTACATTGCGATGAATAATGGAACTTATACAGTGCAAGCTACAGGGCTCCAACCGCTTTATCATTTTTTTATATTTGAAGTAAATCATCCCTGGAGCTAAACTGTATCTGTGAAGTTTTTGAAGTGTCTATGAATACCTAGTTTTTGGGTTTTGCATCATTGTTGAGCTAGAAATATTTCTGTTGACCAAATAATTGAAAATGCGGAGACATACAAAATAGTAGAATACAAACAGAAACACCTACACCTATTTGTTCTGCAGCCTGTACCTCCCTTGCATAACTAGCTTTGCATCAGACACACCCTGTTTGTTTGGCAATGCTATTATGATATTAACAGTTTATGCGTCTTCTTCTTGATTACAGAAAAACTTATTGTCCTACTACGAGATGGACGAAAGCTGCTTGGCACTCTCTGCTCATTCGATCAGTTTGGTATGCCACTTCCTACATCCTCTTTTCTTTGCATATTTTTCTGCCATCAAATCTTTAATGTTGTATTTTGCAGCAAATGTTGTTCTTCAGGGTGCTTGTGAACGAGTAATTGTGGGCGAATTATATTGTGATGTTCCTCTTGGTTTATATGTGATCCGCGGAGAGAATGTTGTATTAATTGGAGAACTGGTAATTATCTCTTGTGCACTATGAAATGACCATGGCCAAATCCATTCTCCCATATTAATGCTATAGATCTGGTATTGCATTGAGCAGGATCGCGAGAAGGACGAACTCCCTAGTCACATGACTTGTGTTTCAGAGGCTGAAATAAGAACGGTACACACTTCACTTCACAGAATCTTGTTTGAAGCTCTAGTTTTTTTCTCTTCTGATTTGTAGCTAAAGATGTAAGGCTAATAAAATCATTATCCGAGGAAAAGATGTCACATGTGAGATTGTGCTCATCATTTGGTCCTTCCCTCTTGGCGCAGTCCCCTGTGCACTCTTATGTACACTCAAGCGATCTATACTTTAAGTGGACTTGAACAAGAAACATGACAAGCGTTTTATCTCCCTTTGGAGCAAAATGGCATTATGTATCTAACAAGTGGCATAGGACACAAATAATGAAGAAAGAAGAGTTTTTGTAGGCGTTTGCTGTTCTTGTTGCTTGTGCTGATATGTGTAGTAGCTGCCGGTATTGCTCAAGCAGAGGATCTTGCAACTGATACTACTACGTTTGTGTTTCTCCCTTTTCCCCAGGCCGAGAAAGCCGAAAAGGAAGCAAGGGATCTGAAAGGCACAATGAGGAAGAGGATGGAGTTCCTAGACTTCGATTAGCGTCCATCCATTAGTCAGTCATGTTGATTGATAGTTGGTGCTCCCTTTGTGGCCGCTGGTTTTTAATGGCGGCATTTGCTATGTTTGTGGGCAATGGAAGCTCCTGATTGCACTGTGTCTTATACTTGTTCAGCCCTAATGATGCTCTGGACCGAGGGGCTCTTCCTCAGTAGCAATGTACCCGGCCCTGTATTCTTATCTTCTGTTGCAGTTTGTTTCTCTTTCTTGAGAGCTGTTACTTGGCCATGCAATTTTCTGCTCGGATTCTTGGCATTTTTTCCGTCTTTGGTGAATCGCATTGCGCCGTAAATTATTACCTGGGACCGTTCCCTATTACTTCCTTGGGCGGGCGGGTTTATTAGGCCCCCTCTTATTTTAGGCCAAATTTTGATCTTGGATTTAACTAACAAAATATATGTTATATACTACAAAAATAATATCATAGACTCCTTTGGAATACAAATCCAACAATATAATTTTTATGAGATACAACTTATATGTTGATAGACAAATCTATGGCTAAACTTTGACACAATATAAGGGTGACCGATAAACCCAGGGTGAGGGAGTATTATACATAAACTCTCTATGTTTCTTTTACTTTGCATGTACGAATTGTCTGAAGTCAAACTACGCAAAGTTTAATGAATTTATATTAAAAGTTATCAACACCTACAATACTATGTTGTATAGTATGAAATTAATTTCATAATGCATTTAATAATATTGATTTTGTATTGCAAATGTTTATTTAAAAAAATTGATAAAACTTTTCAAAGTTTGATTTCACACAAATTTTATATACATGAATAAAAAGAAGCGGAAGAAGTATTTTTTTCGGGGTAAGAGAATCTCCAACAGAGGCGCTAAATAAGCGGCGCGCTCGAAAAAACGGCTATTTAGTGTGCATGCGACCGAATCTACAGCTCCAACATATGCGCAAAAATCGTGCGCGCTCTAAAAGCGGCTTAGCGCGTCGAACAAAACTGCATTGCGCCCTGTTAATTTCGAGCGCCCGCTACCGCGCGCTGGACAACCAATCGGGCGCACGAATCTCCACCAACCGTCGGATCTGAAATATCCACGCGCGCGGCTTCCCCATTTGCTCCGGCGACCCGTCGGCGCTTCCCTCGCCTATCCCCAGTGGGCGCGCCGCTTCCCCTGCTTCTCCGATGGCCGCCGCAGCTTCCTCCGCCTTCTCTCCTCGCCGTCACCTCTCGAGCGCCCGTTCCTCCGACAAACAGCGTCCGACGGGGGTTTGCAGCTCGGCGTCCACAAGGTGTTCGACAAAACGCTTGTAAGGTATATATTGCTTCTAACTTCATATTTGTAGATAAATTTGGAGCATGTTGTTTGTAGATTGAAATTTTAGTTTGAATTCAAGTTTGTAGATGAGTTCGCCCTACGATTCTTCCGATGAAGAATATGATCTTCAAGAGGAGGATGTCGCAATGATCTTAGCTATGCACATCAATAGTAAGCAGAAGCATGATGGTTCAATTTTTGGTCGTCAGAAATTATGGAGGGAAAGGATCGATGCCCACAACAGATTGACGAGGAACTATTTTGTGGAGTGTAACGCCCTCGATGCGGCTATATCTCCCACGTGTCGAAGCACGACTTAGAGGCATAACCGCATTGAAAGCAATGTCGCAAGTGAGGTAATCTTCACACAGCCCATGTAATACATAAGGGAAAGAGATACATAGTTGGCTTACAATCGCTACTTCACACAATTACATGAATAAAGCATTACATCAACCAGATACAATCAAGGTCCGACTACAGAACCAAAATAAAAGAAGACTACCCCAAAAGCTACACAGATCCCCGATCGTCCCGACTGGGCTCCACTACTGATCAACTAGAACGAAGCAACACAAAGGACAAGATCTTCATCGAGCTCCTCCTTGAGCTTGGTTGCGTCACCTGCTCGGTAACATCGGCACCTGCAAACTGGTTTTGGAAGTATCTGTGAGTCACGGGGACTCAGCAATCTCACAACCTCGCGATCAAGACTATTTAAGCTCATAGGTAAGGTAAAAGGTATGAGATGGAGCTGCAGCAAGCGACTAGCATATATGGTGGCTAACATACGCAAAAGAGAGCGAGAAGAGAAGGCAATGCACGATCGAGAAACTATGATCAAGAAGTGATTCTAGAACAACCTACGTCAAGCATTACTCCAACACCGTGTTCACTTCCCGGACCCCGCCGAGAAGAGACCATCACGGTTACACACGCGGTTGATGCATTTTAATTAAGATCAACTTCAGGTTTTCTACAACCGGACATTAACAAATTCCCATTTGCCCATAACCGCGGGTACGACTTTCGAAAGTTCATAACCCTGCAGGGGTGTCCCAACTTAGCCCATCACAAGCTCTCACGGTCAACGAAGGATATTCCTTCTCCCGAGACATTCCGATCAGACTCGGCATCCCGGTTACAAGACATCCTCGACAATGGTAAAACAAGTCCAGCAACACCGCCCGAATGTGCCGACAAATCCTGATAGGAGCTGCGCATATATCGTTCTCAGGGCACACTTAGATGAGCTCTCCATACAACTAAAACCAAACCTCGAGTTTCCCCGAGGGGGCGCTGCACATGGCTCTAGTTTGGACCAACACTCAGAGGAGCACTGGCCCGGGGGATTAAAATAAAGATGACCCTTGGGCAGGCCTATCCAAGGGAAAGAAAAGGCTAGGTGGCGAATGGTAAAACTAATATTGGGAATTGCTGGAGGAGTTTTATTCAAGGAGAACTGTCAAGGGGTTCCCATTATAACCCAACCGTGTAAGGAACGCAAAATCCGGGAACATAACACCGATATGACGGAAACTAGGGCGGCAAGAGTGGAACAAAACACCAGGCATAAGGCCGATCCTTCCATCCTTTACCAAGTATATAGATGCATTAATTAAATAAGAGATATTGTGATATCCCAACAAAATATCCATGTTCCCACATGGAACAAGCTCCAATCTTCATCTGCAACTAACAATGCTATAAGAGGGGCTGAGCAAAGCGGTAACATAGCCAAAACAACGGTTTGCTAGGACAAGGTGGGTTAGAGGCTTGGTTCAACAATATAGGAGGCATGATTAGCAAGTGGTAGGTATCGTAGTATAGGCATAGCAAAAGAGCGAGCAACTAGCAAGCAAAGATAGAAGTGATTTCGAGGGTATGGTCATCTTGTCTGAAATCTCGCAAGGAAAAAGAACGAGTCCATGAAGAAGACAAATGGACGTAGTCGTACGGGTCCTCACAAACGCGACGTTAACGGAACCAACCCGAAGAAGCTACACCGGAAAGAAGCACACAACATAGTAAACAACCAACACATGAACATGGTATGATATGTGGGATGCGGTATGCGGTGCATATGCATGATTTGACAAGGAATGATTGAACCTGGCCTCAACTTGGAAATCCAAGAGTGCCACTGGAAAGGTGAGGTGATTTCGGTTGAAATCGATAATAAAGATCACCGGAATCGGATGCACGGTTTGGAAATGGCAAGCAAAACAAATATGGCACCGGTCTGCGATTAACAGCAAGTGACCATCTAAATGCAACAAGATAAATATGCTGCAACACTCAAACATGGCAACAAAATACATGGCAGGGATCCACTCATGATGCTTAACAAAAGATGAACACTGAGCTACGGCTAATTCACTCAATAACAGGTTCAAACAAGCATGGCAAAAGTGCAAAAGATAACAGGTTTCAGACTTAGTGAAATTAACACATGTCTGGAATTTATCATCAGGTAGCAATCTTTAGAGCATGAAAACTACATGCTACAGGAACATAACATGGCAAAGCAAGGCATGAAATGAAGCTACTCAAAGCACTTAACAAAAGTCCCTTAGTGACCTTGAGCCAAAAGGGATCAGAAAATAGAATTGCAAGCATGTGAACATGGCAAAAACATAAACAGATTCAGACTTAGTGAAAAACTGGAGCATGCAAAACAGTTAACGAGTAGACATGTTTACGAGCTCGATGCACTCACTACAGAGCATTGCATGACAAACTAAGCATACACCCATGAAGAAGACATGGCATAGAATCTAGATATGGCAAGAACAACAATATAGCATGCACGGATCAACAACAACAACCTCGGCAAAATCGCTAAACATGTCAATGATCTGCCAGGAACATTTTATAGCAAAAGTAGAGCTCGATTGGCTCAAGCTAGGGTGCTCCATAATTGCAAACAAAGACATGGATAGATATAGCACAACAATATTAACAAAACATCCTTACTGATCAGCCTCAAAAGAGGCATGGATCACTAGAAAACAACATGAACATATGGCATAACAACAAAATCAGGACAAGGACTTAGAGAAATTCTAAGTCCCTGAAATCAGCATTACCGATTACGCTACTTTGCATGCTCGTGCTAGTCACCACAAATATCACGAAAATACATGGCATACACCCCTGTAAAGATGGCATGGCATATTACAAAACACATGTAGAGCTCAGGATCATAGCATGCTCACATTAATTATGGCAAAAATGACAAAATGGCATTTGCTGAAACAGATCTGACAAAATCCTCACATAGCCCTCTTCCAACGACATTTCGGGCATCAAGATGAGCTCAAATGAAAATGATGCAATGATATTAAATGATGTACTCGTTGAGACGAACATTTTGATATGCTACACGCACGAATTGAAGCCACGGTGAGGGAGTTATGATGCAATGAAAAATGCCAAAAGATTAGGGTTCGGAGGGAAAAGTCAACCGAGTGAAATCTCCAGATCCAGATCTTGATCGCACGCGGACCAATGTGCTCGCCGGAGAAGTCGGCGGAAACGAAGATGGTGGTGGTCGGAGCTGCACCAGCTCGCCGGCCGGAGCTCACGCCGGAGCTCGCCGGAGAGGAGGCCGGAGTGGAGGCGCGGTGGAGGAGGAAGCCCGCAGCGGTGGCGATAGCCGGAGGCGGCGGGGCACGCCGGCGAGCAGCGGTGGC